GCGAAGGCAGAGTGAGTACTGAAAAAAGACAACTACGCGTGGGACTCTGTGCTGGTTGACACCTATTGTTAAGCCAACGGTGATGCAGGTTGCGGAAGCTGGGCAGGCGTGCGCGCGAGAGAGATATAGAGGTGCACACGTTTAACTGGACGAGAAAAGGCCGGAAATAGGAAGTCTCAGCATGTCCGACTTCTTCGGGTTTCTTAGCATCCAAGAAGGTTTTTCCAATAGCTGCACACTTTTCGTGGGAAGAAATGGAGAAATGCAATGCAAGGTTATTGACCTACCACATAATGAAAGGGGGACTAACAACGACAAGAGAGACTGAAATGGCTATTTCTGGCTTATGTGTTCTCGTTAGCCAGTTCTTTTCAAGCCTATGCGACCGCGAATATTAACCGTGTTAGAATTACTTTAACTACTCGGTTATGAGCTATTCTCTTCTTGTTATGCCTTTGGATTCAGTGCAGGGCATTCGCAGTCTCGCATACCGAGCCAAACCTATTTTTAATGAGGAAAAAGGCGATCGTGGGAACCGTAGTCGTATTGTTGTGTGGTTTCAACATTTTTTTTAAGAGGACACGTATCCCCGCTTTTGTCAACAATATTTACATATACATGCTGGATGTAGGGTGCTCATTGATCTACCTAGTTAGGGAGCATATTTGCCCAGTTGTGCCTGGAAGCTCGTTCTAGACCATTCGCAGGCAGTCGCTTAGCGACTTCAGATATACGGTGGAGTGGAACTTACAAAGACAAGGGAGAGGGGTATGGCCATTTCTGGCCTTTTAGCCGTCATCAGCCAGTCATACGCAATCCCAGGTGTGGATCGTACGGGATTCGACCATGGGACTTTTGGTTATTTAAAGTTACACTCTACTATTGAAGCACGGGCTTGCTGCTTTGTCGGTCTCACTGCGACTGCCTGCGATTTGTCTAAAACGGACTCCCAGGCACTAAGGGATACGTGTGTTCTCTAACCAGATGGCTCGGTGAAGTAGGACTTCCATCATATTCCTGATCACAACCGACAAAGCGACGAGCCCGTGTTTCAATGGTAGAGTGTTGCACTCAATGACCAAATGTCCCGGGTTCGAATCCGGGGTGACCCACACCTGAGATTGGTAGGACTGGCCAGAAATGGCCATTCCGATCTCGATTGTCTTTGTTGGTTCCACTCCATGCAGAGAACAGAAAATTTTGCTTCGCTTTCAGAAATTGGGATAAGTGCAAGTATGAGATAACACATTATTATCGGGAAAGAAGGGCGGAATCTGTTCACAAAATTTACTTTGTAGATCTGTTACGTTTTGTGCCATAAAGATAATTAATAAACTTATGGGACCGCAAGTTGTTTTCCTACGTCGAAAATAGTGGCCGCAATGAAGCATATATAGGAACTGTAGCGAAATGTCATAAGTTTTCTCTGTAACGCCGTAATCGAACCCCGTCCAAACAGTGGCAATGTATAGAAGACAATCAATAAGTATAAACATTTGAAACGGAATAGGCAGGAGATTATCAGTTGCAGAAATATCGAAGCATATACTTTGTCACTCTGTCGTGTTTTGCAATCAAAGAATGGGGCCTATAATTTAAAAACTATATACTGAAAACTGCTCCGGTATGCATAGAAAAGTAAGTTCTTTCATTTTCCACAGAAAATGTATCCCTAATTTTCAGGGATATTTGACGCCGAAGTGTCTAATTAAAAGGCTTTTCAAGAGGTAACTCGTTATAGAAAGTTTTTTTAGTTAAACTTAGGCTTATTCATTTAGGACTTTTGTTGTGGACGTTCATTTTTCTTTGTAATGAGTTGAAATTTTTGAATGACTCAAAATCAATGACCCAAACAGACAGCTGCATAAGAGGGAATGCTTTACAAGTCATTATTTAGGTAATACCTTTAAGAAATACCTTATTTTGAAGTTTTTTGGTAACCAGGGAAAAAATCGGTATTTAGGTACAAACAAATAAAAATACTAAAATTCCTAAAGTGGTAAGGAGAATTTCAAGAACAATCTAAAGCTCGTCATATTCGAACTCCCGAAGTAATTACAACGGAATGTGACGAAAGGAAATGTCTCTCAATATATATAGGATAGTATGAATTTTATTTCAAGTACAACCGTAATCTAACTTTTTAGTTAACAGTCAGCCTCTCCATGTGCGGCCTCCAATTTGTTTTTATTCCTGCCAACAGCCCGGGTCTGATTTCTATAGAAAGCCATTTTGCAATTATCAAAATAAATTTGCTCAAGACCAAGGGTAATCTTTCCATACAAGAAAACACTTAATACGGAATAATAACATTGAACAAATGCCTATTGATAACTAGTTCATGTCTGTGTCGGGCAGGTTTAATGCAGTTTAAAATGTTAATAAACAATCTAAAAAGTACTAAAATTGTGTATTCGTACTTACTCTGTATTGATTTGCCGTTTTTGCGCTCTCCTGCCTTAAACACGTTTATATTTAACATTACATCAGTGACCCATAATATAGCCACTATCTCAATTTCAAGTTTTTAGTGAAAATGAACTATTTTTATTTTAGTAAATAGTAATGTTTCAACCAACCTATGTCTTGTTTAATTATGATATTTAGTTTACTGCAGTAAAACTTGGGGGATACCGCATGCACTCTTTTCGCCCAAAATGAATTTTCTTGTCGAAGCCACGACATTTTATGAGTTTTAACATTCACTATATGCATATACAGTTGTAGACAGGCGCTTACTGATCGGTTTCAGAGCTCGCTCATCTCGCTGTGGCTCGGGGTTCGCTCTCGAACCATGCTTGCAGCCGCTCAAGGGCTAGCATATATTAAAGGCAGAAATATATTACCATTAATATTAGCGCTAACATGGCTACCTCAATAGGACGCAGAAACCGTAACCGTCTGTAATGCAGGTGGTTTTTTGCCAAATTCCAGGGAAACCAGGATGACTTGGAGTAGAAGTAAAATTTGGGTTAAAATGCGCACACATATAGCCCTACTGGAATTTAGCGCAAGGCCACCTGTATTATCAGGATGAGGCAGTGGGTTCTTCTCTCCGTGTCTTCCTAATAATTTTTAAACCTACCCCCAAGCCAAGTCCTGGAGTGTGAAACACTGCAATTTTTGTTGAAATTTGTTTCAGCCCCTTGGGTGAATCAAACAGTGTAAAATAATTCCGTTGCAGTTTATTTCATCGAGTTGTACTGCACGTTTGAAGCCTCTTATGATCTCTTAAAGGGTTTGCCGACAAAGTCCCATAATCCTTTTATAGGAAATCACCCCTCCGCGAAGTTGGTACTTTTACCATACTTACAAATTTCGTACAGTTTCACCTGTCCTTTTGGTTTGCCAAAACGTTAATGCTGTTCAAATGAATGGGGAATAACACAACTGCGGAAAGCAGTATTATGAAAACTTTTGCTATCGGTAATATGAGACGCTTCCAACATCATCCAAACTTAAGATCTTTTTAGATCCAAAATCATGTCCTCTCAAGTGCCTCTTTTTAACAGAAGACAATTTCCCATAAAGTGAAGTCGATAAATCAAGAGTGTATTCATTGTAGTCAGTATGACCACATTTGTGCTGGTATGCCAATAAAGTGAAGCCTTTTTCGAGTTGAGATTCCACCGCTGAATGACAAGCTCTGTGGAAAAAACGGAACCCTATGGCGTGATTCGGGGTAGGAAGAACCGCAACCTCGGCAAAATTTCATTTGTAGAATATTCAAACATTTCATCCTCTGTCGGTGCCTACCACACAACTGTCCCACGCCATCTGACGGGGAAGTACCCAAAAAGAAGACTTATTTTCTGTAGGCCAGTGGATTGGAATTGCTGTTTCCTCCCACTAGATACTTTTATTAGACACTCCTCTTGCTCAGTTCGCCAAGTAGCTTTCGCGAGAAACCATCGCAAATGACATAGTGACTTCTTTATTAAGCCCCCTTCTAACGCTCCTGGCGACTTTACGATTACCAACCTCAACGAACAACGCGTGCATGATATTGTCTTTTTTCGATATCAAAAGGAGTCCTCCGCTTTGAATATTTCCGCAGGGCATAACGGTGGACCAATAAAAATATTCACAATTGCTGAAGTGCTTGAGTGAGATGGTAAAAAAAAGGGACCTGAATTGTGGCGATGGAGGACTGGTGTTTTAATTAGGACAAAATGCCTGCCCAAATAGCATTAAACATCAACTGGTTTTCGGCTAAAAACTCCCTGACAACGGTTTATCATCCCTCTTACTCGCCTGACCTAGCTCCTCCTATGACTTCGTCTTTTTCCCAAGAATTAAGAAAAACGTAAAAGGAAAGCGTTTTCGGGGAAGAAAAATTCGCTGGAGGCAGTTAAAGTATTAGTTCAGAATGAGCAGACAAAAATGGTTCGAAGAGTGGATAACTTGTTGGTATAAGTGTAAATCATCTATGGGACAGTATTTTGATGGAAATGATTGTTTTAAAGTTATTATCTAAAAATTGGCACGAATGGCCGCCTAAACAAGAAACGGGAAAAGGAACGTCCCGTCAATTTATAATAGGTGTACTTTAAAAAAATTTCAGGAAGGGTAAATACTTCCGAACATAAAACTAAATGGTGACCTTAATTTTGGCCCTTTCCTAAGCCAAAACCCTGCAGTTACCACGAAGCCAAGCCTTTACTTGTTTTAGAATCCTGGCCCTACACTCAAATCCGACCCTAATCATCACCTTAATCGTAAACTTAAAATTCCTCCAGCTTGGTGCAAAACGTGTATCGTGGGTGGTTTAAGTGTCCTGCTTAAACGACTATCCTCACTAAAAAGATTAAATAAACAAGTCTCGTTTCTGGGCCTCCCCCTGGTACGACGGCGGGTTATGTTTACCAATCACATTCTCTTTTTGCGAACTTCTCTAGGCTCAGCAGTAAAAACCGTTTTAGTAAAGGGGCGCACTCATCGATCAGGTGATGGGAAAAACTCGTCCGTTAGCTCACTGACTAGAGCCAAAGAACCTCGATTTGAACCTCAGGTGTCCTCAAACTCTGGGGTTGCTAATGCTGGCCAGCGAAAAGTGGTCATCCTAGTTGTCCTTTTATCCTTGTCGGTAATCTCATTTCCCCAAAGCCTGCTTTATTTGTCCCGGCTGTGTAAGCCCATATCCACGTTAAAACTACGCCCAACATCGTTTTTTTGGCGATCGGCTGTAACGTAGCCGAGTTTAGGCCTGAACTATACCCCCCCCCACCTGGTATAAACCTCTTCCGTCCCCATAATATCTGTCATCGGCAACAGAGTCCGGCAGACCTGCTGGACCACCCTGAATCAGCACCCAACTACCGGTTTCACATACACATACACAAAAGTGGGAGGCGGGAGAGGGAGAGAAATAGGCAAAAAATGAGCCATAAATGCTTCACAGGCCAGAACACCCACAGACACAAGCAGGCGCGCGGCAAACACTACTCACCCGGTGACATTGGCAGGAGGTCCCAGCTGGGAT